CAATTCATTTTCAAGATTATTGTTCTGCAGGTTTCAGTAATATTATGCTGCACAGTTGTGAAATTACAGAACCATAAAATAATTTTTAAAATAACTTCTTGTCTTCAGCACATGCTACTTTAACTCATGTCTCCTAATTTACTTCTATTTTAAAAGAGCTGTTTCAATTTGACACGGGTTTAAATTTTTTTCCCTGTTGCTCAGGATACCCACAAGGATGAGTCTGGGTAACATCTGAATAAAATGTTATGTTTTATATAATATCATAAAACTAGCAAGTCCTAAACCCTCCAGATAGTTATTTCACTTGCCACAGACTGACTGAATAATCAGTCTTTAAGCTTTCTCACACTGAAAAAAACCCAGATCTTTTGGTGTCAGAGCTTCCAGGATTAAACATTCTTTCCAGTTGTTGGCTCATGGCTGAAGATCCTGCACTTTCAAATTTATCCCATTGCAGCTAGTTCAAAGATCAGGAAAATGAAGCCATCTTCTTTGCAGCCATAATCCACGACCCATGCTGTTAGGTACTTAAGAACATCTCCAAAGCAAACTACCTTGTTTCAGCTGCCAGCAGGAGCTCAGCAGGGCGTGGCTCGCAGGGCTGGGCAGGTGACTCGCTGCCTAATCTGATTTGGTGCCTGTAAAACTTTAATCAGTGCAGTCTAAAACCAGCACATTCCACGACTGATGAGAGAAGCAGCCTGGCCATGGAACTGCAAACTCTAATAAGATTATGAGTTACAACAGCTACTGGGATGTGCTTTTCTGGTTCTCTATCCCACACGTAAATCCAGCAGAAAAATATCACTGAAAGCTGGTCTGGTAGACATATATAAATGAAATTAATTTGAAATAAAATGGGCTGGTGTTTTATTTATTTATTTATCATTCCAAAATGAACAGCATTTTGTTCAAAGACAAGAACATACACAAATCTTCTGCAGCACAACTAAAATCCAGCAAAACCATTGATTTGAAAGTAAAGACGTCAGAAAGTAAAGACATCCATCAGCAGTAACACCCTGCTGGTGAGGAACCTCCCCACACAGTGCTGCTGGTGTTCACTCGCCCTGTGAGCCTGCATGGGCAACCCAGGTGGTGAAGAGAGGCCAGGACAAGTGTGCTCTTCCTATTGACACCTTCTGTCCCTTCGTGGTCACCAAAGCTGATCCCTTGTGCAGGCTGCCCTAGAGCAGGGGCTGGACAGAGCTACAGAATAAAGCAGGGATTGATTCAAAGCATCTCCTCCATGCATCCACCTTGGGCAGCACCAGAGCCCAGCCAGGGCTGCACCCAAGATCAACCAAAATGGCCCCAAAATGCACGAGCGCTCCCGGGCTCTCTCCCTGGGATCAGTTCTGCTCCATTTGCACCTTGAAGTTCATTGTCCCATTCCAGCTTTAGCCCAGGCAGTCCCACCCTGCTTGTTTTTCTCTCTGCAGCCCACGGTGTTTGTGCTCTGGGGCTGAGATTGGGATCATTTGTCCTTGGTGTCCAGCTGGAGCAGGAATTGTTTTGTCTCCCTGCTCTGTGCACAGAGCTCACCATCCCTGAATGTGAAGCCCAGACCCACACACTAAAGCAGCACAGAATGTGGAAAATAGAAAAGCTGAAGCACTTCAAGGGCTGCTGTTCTGGGGACACCAGGATTTTCCCCAAGTCTGTAGGCTACACTTTGGGAAGAGAAATGTCAAACATACTTGCAGATCAAATTCCAAGCATAACCTTTCCCCAAATGTTCTGACTGCTCTCTCATTTTCCATTGTATTCCCTCAATTTTATTTTTTTTTCTAAGGGAATTTTCATCCCAAATCCTCTTAATCCATCTTAGAATCTGCAAGTAGCTGAACTGGACCAGCAAGAGGAAAACAGAGAGCTCGATTTCTCCAGAGCACAGTTAGGATTTGCAGTTAAACTGACATCCCCATTTGACCAGCTCTACTTGCAACATGTGAGCTGTGAGGAAGGAAAGTTCATTATTCTACAGTTTCAGACACCCCAAAATAGACCAAAAATGTTTAAACCTCTCCATTCTCCAATGAGCTAAGCAGGACCCCTGTCCATTGCCATAGCTCAGCTGACAAGAAATAACTTCCTAAGACACTTCCTGAGCACTGGAAATCACTTCCATGTTCCTCAGTCTCTCTGCATTTCCATCCCACCCCTAGAGCAGGAGCTCTAGGATTTATCTCATAATGTCAGGGAAATGTCTACAATCACAATTGCTGAGGTCTTGCTTTCTGCCAGACACCAAATCCTAGTGGAATCTTCTACAGCCACTGAAAATTCACCTTTTCAAAACTGGACATGTGAATATAAGCAAACCTTCAGTATGGTTCAAAAAGGGTGAAAAAAAATATTGTTATTGCTGAAAATGAAACACCGTTGATTTAAAAATAATCAACTAAAAAAATCTGAAATTAAACTTGCATTAAATGAGTTCTTTCTCTGAAATTTGTCTGAAATACAGGTAAAGTCAGATGTTGTAAGCAGTATTTCCATAAGCACACATGCACTGTAATAAAATGTTACTATTTGAAAAATAGCTTATTTCCACCCACTTTCTAAATCAGTAGGACTTTAACTGCACCCATCAGGTTCAAATGTGACTGGGGAAAAATGAACACCACCAACAGAACTACTGCTATATTTTAAAAGTTCAGTTCTCATACTGAAAAACTTGTATCTACTTCATTATTTTTGTTATCTATGAAACAGTCTCTCATGCTGTTACCATGTAAGACACCATTTCTCTATATTTGGAAGGATATCTACAAAAAAATTGTAACAAAAATATCACTCGATTAAAACCCCATTTTTTTAAATGTAAAAATCCAATTTTTATTCTGAAATAACTACAAAGTTCTGGGAGGTTGGGCTGCCCTCCTGCATGCAGCACCAGCTCACAGGATGGCACAAAAGAAAATTATTGAGAAAATCAGTTGATGGCTCTAAATCAGTTTAGTGAGCTCAGCCAGCCCAAGGAGGGAACTGACCAGCACCACAATTTGCTGGATTGGAAACAGAGCAGGAGCAGGGAGTGAGATTTCCTCTTTTGCAACCCTCAGCCACTGGATCAGCTCCTGACCAGTGAGGATTGGCAGGAAATGTGCAATTTATCCAAGAAACACTAAAAATGGGAGGGGCATGGCACAAGAGTTCCCATTTGCAAAATACTTTCATTATGTGTGTTCACTTTCCAATAGGAAAGAGAAAAAAAAGGAAAAAAAAAAAAAAGAGAAGGAATTATTTAGCCTCCACTTTTAATTGGCCTGTAGGAAAATGAGGTTAAAAATTATAACAAACCCTTACATGGCAGGCAAGTAGTAATGAAAGAACAAAAGAGAGGGCTCAGCCCTGGATCTATGTCAAGTTAACCCACAATAGTGTATTTTAATTAAAAGAAACAATAAAGCAAGGAAATACTTTGTGTTAATGAAGAAAAGAAGATGTACTGCTTGGAATGGGAAAAAACCATCCCAGAGAGTGAGTAGGTGCAGTTTATCACTGGATCTTCTTTCTCTTATCACTGCTTACCTTTCTGACAGGTAAGCACTGACTTATCAGAGATATCCTTATCCCTGGGTCAGGAGCTTCTGTAACAAAGATCTCACAGTTACCCTGCAACTGCTGTGTCACACACAGCTGAAATGTTCAAGGATTTGGGCTCCAGGAGCACAGGACAGCAAGAAAAGGCAGATTTACTGTGATCTCTGAAAGTGGAGAACTCTCCCAAAGTTTCAGCCTCCTCTTCAGTCACACAGAATTCACACCACTGACAGAAACAGAGGCCCAAACCCTTTTAAAAGAATTGTGGATTGTGCTTTGGGTCTTTATTTTGTTGGCATTTCCTATTCCAGATATTCACACCTCGCTGGTCACATATTACAGAAGTGAAATTAAACAGCTTTGTTTATTTCTTGCCATGGTTTCCAGTCTCCTTTGATCTTCTCCTCTACAGACAGACACTTCTAACTTTCACTAAACAATAATCTCTACTTAAAATTAAGTATTATCCAGTATTTCACAGCTTAGCAGAACATACAAAACCTTAAGACAACCTCTTGATACTCCTGATAAAAGATCTTGATTTGTCTCCTGCCCAGCACGTGTGGGAGCTTGGCCAGCAGCAAAAAGAACATCCTTTCCCCAGCCAGGGCCACAAGATGCTGAAGTTTCATGCTCCTGAATTTGAATTGGGTGTGAAGGGAAAACTCTGAGGTCCGGGACTGCCCACATATTGCAGCTCTTTCATGCTGCTCATATTTAACACAAGGATTTTTTCCCCTCAATTAAAAAGCAACTCAAGAACCACAGGTGTTCAGAAAGTTGGCTCAGAATGACAGTACACACGATTCACTGGAATTAAAGACTGAGAATGAGGGATTACAGTATTAAAGCTTGGTTTTTATATTTTATACAAGAGCCTTCTGGCAGCTTGGATGCACCTGAATCACCGACATGAAAAACAAACATAAAAATACTTTTGGTAGTGGCTGTTCTATCCACTGACAGGGCTTCCCTTGCTTTCAGAGCACCAGAACACAGAGCGTTGACTGACAAACCAAACTAGAACTTGTCAAAGCATTTTAATGTCCTTTAACTTTTCCCACCACACATCTTGGTGCACGCCGACACAAGCTCTTGCTGCCAAGGGAAGGCATTAAACCAGACGCCTACACAGGTCTGTGCCTATGCACAACCAAGCAGCGACCCAAGTATACTCACATTATGGTAAGAAAATACATTTTATAAACACTTTTCCCTTTCAGACTCTTTCCGAGGGGGCTGATGCCGCTCCAGGCGAGCCTGTGCGACCCCGGCCCTGCAGGCACGGGACAAGCGGAGCGTCCCTGCACGGCACCCGAACCGCACTCCCCGCGCCGCTCCGTGCCCGCTGCCAGCCCCGGTGTGCCCCGGTGTGCCCTCGGCCCCGGCAAGGCCCCGGTGTGCCCCGGTGTGCCCTCGGCCCCGCTTCCCCCCGGTGCCGCTCTCACCTCCCCGTTCGCCGCCGGGCCCCGCAGCCCTCCGCCGGCTCCGCACGTGCCAACACCGCGTGCTCCCATTGGCCGGCGGCTCCCAGAGCCGCTCCCCCATTGGCGGAGCGCCGGCCCGGCGTGCCCGGCCCCGACATGGCGGCGGCCGGCGGGGAGCGGGCCCGCACCAGCTTCCAGCGCAGGCCCGGGGCCGGCCCGCGGCCGCCCGCGCTGCCGGGCACTCGGCCCTCGGTGCGCCACGGGCAGCTGCTGCTCTCCAGCGGGCTGCCCTCCCTGGACTGTGTGCTAGGTTGGTGGGAGCGGGACTGGGACCCCTTTGCCAGGCCCTGCCTGCCCTCCCGTAACCCCGCGGCTGCTCCTTCCTCCCCTCATCCCGGGATCGCGGGGGGGGGCGGGAGGGGCAGGAGGACGGGGCAGGCAGGTCGGGGATCCCGGCTGGAGCTGGCGGAGGAGCCGCGCTGCCCTCGCTGCGGGCAGCCCTGCGGAGCCGCTCCGGGAGCTCTCCCAGCGGCACATGGCCGGGGCGATTGGCGCTGCCACGGGGAGGGTGCTGGCTTTGGGCTGGGAAAGCCGGGTGTGCTTGGGAAAAACGAGTGTGCTGCTGGGTTCCCGTTGGAAGGAAAGCCGTGTGTGCGGCTGGTTTCCCTTGGAAAGCCGTGTATTGCCAGGGTCTGCCCCTTGGAAAGCTGTGTGTGTATTGCCAGGGTCTTCCCCTTAAGAAGCTGTGTGTGTATTACCAGGGTCTTCCCCTTCTAAAGCCTGGGTTCCCCTTGGAAAGCTGGTGTGCTGCTGGGTTCCTCTGGGAAAGCCGTGTGTGTATTGCCAGGGTTCTCCCCTTGGAAAGCCGTGTGTGCTGCTGGTTTTGGGCTGGGAAAGCCGGGTGTGTTTCGGGGGTTTCCCTTTGGAAAGCCGCTGTGTGTGCGGCAGGGTTCCCCTTGGAATGCCGTGTGTGTATTGCCAGGGTTCCCCTTGGAAAGCTGCGTGTGCTGTAAAGTTTTCCCTTTGGAAAGCCGTGTGTGCTACTGGGTTCCCCTTGGAAAGCCAGGTGTGGCTGGGTTCCCTTTGGAAAGCCGTTTGTGCTATCAGGGTTCCCCTTGGAAAGCTGTGTGTGCATTGCCAAGTTTTCCCCTTGGAATGCCGTGTATGGCTGGGTTTCCTCTTGGAATGCCGTGTATGGCTGGGTTTCCCCTTGGAATGCCGTGTATGGCTGGGTTTCCTCTTGGAATGCCGTGTATGGCTGGGTTTCCTCTTGGAATGCCGTGTATGGCTGGGTTTCCTCTTGGAAAGCCGTGTGTGTATTGCCAGGGTTCCCCTTGGAAAGCAAACCTTTTCCCCCCTGCTGTATGAACACTGCTCACCTTTTGTCTCTCTCCGTTGGAGAAAAGATATTTCTATGTCCCAGCTTTTGCATTTGTATTCGGGGTCTCCGCGCCGCAGGTGCTGGGGTGTGCTGGGGTTCTCAGTTTGTCTTTTCTGCCTTGCTCAGCACGGCTGCGTGGTTCGAGTGCCCCCTTAGATGAATGGCTCTGGTGTGAGGCTGGTTTTGCTGCCTCTTGGTGTGAGATGGTCCCAGGGACTCATCTGTTGTCACTGCTGCTGTGTCATCCGTGTCAGGAGCTGGCACTTTCCCTTGGCTTGGGAGCTCATTCATTTACTGCTGTTTATCTGGCTGATCCTCTAACTCTTCACACAGTTGCAGTGCATCTTTAATGTACATACATGGGACTTTTAGGTGAGAACAGCCTGATTTTAGCTTTGTTCATCCATCCTTGGAGTACACAGAATATGCCACTTTTCTCTCTAGGGATGCTCTGTATGATCAATGATGATATAAAAGTCATATCCACTGTGTAAAGGACATTTTGCAGCCTGTATATAATTTTTCTGTGTGTGTATGTCTGCACTTTCATCAGGGATTAAGATCATTGTGGAGGAAGCTCTTCCTGCTTGAGAGAGAAATATTTCATTAAGTGAGTGTAATTTGTGAAGCCTTTTAATTGCATGAAAAGCAGATTTGCATTGAATATTCCTGTTCATATTCCCTTTCAGAAACAGTGCATTTTGCACAGCATGGCTCAGAAGATGTAGACAGCTCCCATGGTGGCAGTCTCCTAAAATTCTAAGCACCTGCAAACACAATTAGTGGTTTGTTGTGGAAACTGAGGACACTTCCAATAAACCCAGGATCCCTTCTACATTCTCATTGTCTTCAGTGGAGTCTTGAAAATCTGCAGTGGCAGAGATTTTGCAGCACCTCTGGGTAACCCAGCCCAATGCTTGATTATTTTTTGTAGGGAATCTTCTTTTTCCTTATATCCACTGGGAGCCTCCCCTGTTTCAGCTCCCATTTGTTGCTTGTTGCCCTCCCACTGCACCTCAGTGAAGAACTCAGCTGAAATCTTTGCTTCTTTTTTGTTAGGGTCAGGATTGAATGTGTGAGATGGTATTTCTTGTTGGCACTCAGATGTTTATGGGTTCTTATTCTACAGTCTCAGAAACTGAGTTCTGTAGCACTTAAAACTAAAAATGGAGCTGTATCTCCCTCTCTACAAGGCCTTTTAAGGATAAACTGTCCAATTAAGAAATGACACCTAAATTATTTTTACTTTTAACCCAATGATCAACCATTCATAGCCCACTATGTGGATGTTTTATCCAATTACACAAACCCACCTAAACCCAAGGAGAAGAAGGTGAAGGAGAAGGAACAGCCTCCACCCTAAAACCTCCATCTTGCTTTATATATTACTATATTCTAAAAACTTAAACTCTTAAGTTTTCCCCCCTATGATATCACACACTTCTATTCAAACTCCACACCCACAGTCCCAGTTCTGTCATTCCATTTTGGAAGCTTCTCCACAGCCTCAGGTGAAATGCAGTGTTCCCTTGGGGGTCAGTGCCTGCCAGCACAGAAATTCTGAAATTCAGTAAGCAGGGTTCCAGCAGTGTGTCAGCAGCTCCTCTCTCCTCCTCTCTCCTCCTCTCTCCTCTTTCAGCTTTTCCTCCCTTCTCTGGGCTGAGCAAGCCCACTTCCTTCAGCCTCTCCTCTTGAATCAGTTGCCCCATTTTTATATCCCTCCCTGGACTCACTTCACTTTTTTTTTTTTTATTGAATGGAGGAGTTTGAAGTCATCTGGGCCTCATGTTCCAGATGTGATCTGAGTAAAGGGGAGCATCTGACTGAGCCTCTGATGGTGCTGATCCCTTGTGCAGGCTGCCCTAGAGCAGGGGCTGGACAGAGCTACAGAATAAAGCAGGGATTGATTCAAAGCATCTCCTCCATGGATCCACCTTGGGCAGCACCAGAGCCCAGCCAGGGCTGCACCCAAGATGACCCAAAATGGCCCCAAAATGCACGAGCGCTCCCGGGCTCTCTCCCTGGGATCAGTTCTGCTCCATTTGCACCTTGCAGTTCATTGTCCCATTCCAGCTTTAGCCCAGGCAGTCCCACCCTGCTTGTTTTTCTCTCTGCAGCCCACGGTGTTTGTGCTCTGGGGCTGAGATTGGGATCATTTGTCCTTGGTGCCCAGCTGGAGCAGGAATTGTTTTGTCTCCCTGCTCTGTGCACAGAGCTCACCATCCCTGAATGTGAAGCCCAGACCCACACACTAAAGCAGCACAGAATGGGAAAAATAGAAAAGCCAAAACCTGAGCCCGCTGTGCTGGTGACTGCAGGTGTTGGCTTGGTCTTCTTTGTGCCCTTTTTCTAGTGTGGAAATGCTTCATAAATGTGTTGCAGAATGCTGTTTATGTGTTTCTGAGAGAGCATTGGTACTGTTCTTTTTTTGTCCTGCCCACTAGCAATCAAATAATTGACTATAAAAATAATTTTTGGTGTCACCAGGGATTGAGGGCAATCTTTTTTTTTGTATAAATTCCCAATGGAAGTTAGTGCAAACTCTTTTAGGCTGGTATTTTCATAGACATACTTTATAACAGTCACTAGACAGTCTTGTAGATCTCTGGCTTAGGCTGAGTTTAACTTTGCTCTGCTCAAAATCTGTAACCCCGATACAGAATTATTTGCCAGACATGAAAGTGCAGCCTGTGAGTGAGGGAAAGCATGGTGTTATCACACACAGTGAGGAGCTTCTGAAGAGAGGAGAAGGCAGGGAATCCAAGGAGGAGTTTCTTTCACCCTACAGCTGATGGTTACATTTTTGTGGCCCGTTCTAAAGGCGTGAGTTTCCTTTGGATGAGAAGTGGTAGATAAGTGCTGGATTTCAAATGCACTGTTACCATCAGAGCACTCTGCACTTCCAGAGTTTATTTATTTTATATTTTTATTTATAGTTGTTTTATAAATTTATACATTTTATGTTTATAAATATTTTATATTTATTTCTATAAGTGTACTTTCAAGGTTTATGGGCCTTATGTGTGCCAGAGTAGTTCTCTGTGATGGTTACATGACACTATTGTGTAATGTAACCATCACATGCCTGGTATTAAATGTTTCGTTTCAGTCTGCTGGAAAAAAGGTCAGGGATATGCTTTGGAAACAATCTGGGCACTTCTCAGCTTGCAAAGTTTGTTGTGCTTCTCTCCATAAGATCTTAAATCTCTCTTGTAAGTAGCAATGTGGAAAGTTACAAGTTTTGCTCAGATGTTTATATATTCTACTGCTTTAGACACTGGCAAAGAAAAATGAAAATAGCGAGGTTAGGAAGAATGACAAGTTAACAGCTGCTTTCTTGGGAAACTTATAGATTTTGCCTCTTCCTTTTGATTCCATCAGCATTCCTGCTATTTCTTCCTGTTGCCTTTTGTTTAATTTACTAGTATTGTTGCTGGTTGTAATATGAAGGTGTAACCATGGTCACTGCAATATTTTTGCATTCCCTCCAGTAGAAGACACTTGTTCAAACCAGTCAATGATAAAGTAAAGCCAATGCTCTGACCCGAGTTTGCCTTTAACAACCAGGGCATGTGCACATATGTTACAGCTCTGCCTTGTAGAAACAGCACCATGGATGATCTGAAAATGCAGCTTGAGAGAATTTGGACTGCACTGGTTGACAAACAAATCCACTGTAAAAGCAGAAGAGACCCTACTGTCATGGCTACAAGTGAACTTTTCTCTAACCAAGGTTTTAAAGTCATTATTGCCATGAGCTACTACCTTACTTATGGCTCTAATCATATTTTCTATGTCATTTGGTAAAATCTCAACATTTGGAGCTTTTCTTTCTAATGAGCTTTATAGAGCATGTGCTCATTTTAAAGAGCTGTTGTTAGTAACCTGTGTGTTCTGGCTCCCTGAACAATTAAATGCAGTGACTATTGGAAGCATACTTTGTGTCAAACATCAGTATGATTTCAGATTTTGGGGTTTTTTGGTCTTTTTTTCTTTGGTTTTTTCGTTGGTTTTATTTTTTTTTGCTTTCCCCTCTGGTATGTCTTTTGGGTTCATTTGCGTTTATCTCCTGAAGAAATAAATGGAACAAAAATCATTGGGGATTTCACAGGTGATTCTAACTTTCTGATAAACAGCAGTTAAAATTGGTTTGTTGTTTGTTTTTTATTTAATATCTAGAAAATGCTTAACAACCTCATCAACTTGCTGTAGATTTTGAGGTATTTGGACATCTTGACTCAGGAGTTTAGCTTGAAACATCTGCCTCTCTAGAACTATGAAATTAGTAGCTGACTAAGCACTTTCAGTGCCAGTACTGCTCGAGTTGTGGTGTATGATAGCCAAGTGATCCTGTTCTGGTTTTAATTCAGGTGCTATTATTCAGCAATATTAGCACTTTTTGGCCTTTGGGAGAGCCACTTGCTTTTTTTCTTCCTTTTGATTATATCAACATTATGGACACTGCAGGCATTTGTAGTCCCACTAGGAAAGCTGAAGATTAAGAAGTTGATCCAACTCATACTGGAATCAATTTCTAGTGGAGATTTTTCATTTATAAAATGAAAGATCCTGTTCACTGGAGTCCATCTGTGCAGTCCAGAATTGACTTCTGGAGCTTTGCATACTGTGCTGATGGGATTCATCAGTTAGTTTGCTCCTCAGTTGCTTTTAAATCAGGACAGAATTGCAGCCAACATCCTGCAGCTTCCATGCAAAACACTTCAGTAGGCTGCTTACATGTGGCCAGCCTGAGCACTTCCAGGGCTTTTTAGCTTTCCTGTCACAGCCTTCCACAATTGTTAAACAAAACAGCCTGATTTCAGGTTATTCCACTGTTGTAATTCTTGGGATTCAGATTACAAATTAGTGTAAAAACAAAATAAGAAAATAAAATAAGAGTTCCCGAAAATAAAGTGAGTTGTTCTTTCACTGTCCTTATAAAGGAATTCATGGAGTTATGTCCAAGACCTACTGTAAAAAACTTTCATCTCTTCAGTAGTGTATGTTTTTTCATAGTGTGTGCTGTGACATTTATGATCTCTCAGTCCAGGTTTCAATGGGTGAAAGTCTTGCTGCCATGTCAGTAAGATAAAAAGCAGTGGAGCCAGGGTTTTGCCTCAAAGGCTTGGGTGGAAATTTGCTAAAATCTACTGAAATCTTAGCTGGTCACTTAGCTTACATCCTTCTTGATACAAAGGAATATCACTTGATAGCGATATTCCACTTTAGTGGAATCACTTGATAGTGGTTAATATTAATTTAATTTTATTTGGAGACTGTTTACTCCCATGAGTTATCCCAGTAAAAATCTGCTGGCTCAGTACTGTAGTACTTGAGCGTGGTTGCACAGAGCTCTGCAGGATCTTTTTACCACAATGATGATAGTACAGTATATTGTGAAAGTAATTGTAATGTGCAGTATGTAATTACATGTAATGTATAATTATTTCATAATAGAGAATTGTAGTAAGTATTGCAAAGGTAATTAAAATGTTGTTCACTTTTATATTTTTAAATTCCCCGTTATCACCTTTCTTTGACTTATAAACTAAGAAAAGTTAATTGTTCTCTAACATAGCATTAAAGTGTAGTCTTACTTTATTCTTCTTTTTGTTTTGTTTCCAGGTGGAGGCGTAGCTGTTGGAACCCTTCTTCTTATTGGTTAGTATGGAATATATAGATTCTTAAAGCCATATTCTGATGCTTTTCACTCTTGAATGTACTCATTAAACAGCCTCTCTTTTCACTGTTACTGAAGTCAGACTTTCCTAAAGTATAACACTCAGGTTCCTTCATTTTGTGTAGCCTTCAGAAAGGACTGTTTGTCTCAAGAATTACTGCAGGTAATGTCAGTTATTTCTTCTGACAAGCAACCTTTCAAATTACTTAATCTGCACCACACCATACACTAATTTATATACTTGATGTAAAAATCAACATTTTGAAGGCTTCACTCTGTGTAGCCTTCAGAATGGACTGTTGTCTATCACAAGAATTACTGGAGGTGAATCAAAATCTTAATTTTAGACAGGCTTGAGCACCCACAAAGAATACCCCAGAAATCTGTGTGAAAACAGAGCATTTAGCACATTTCAGGACTTACTAGAAGAGTGCACACATTAGTTAAGATTTTGTAAACTGCTGTTAGATTCAAACTGTGTATCATCACAGAGTTTTTTTAAATTTGAGGAAGACATGCAGTGCAGATCTTTGAATCTTTTGGCTGCCAGAATCAGCTGAGAGCAAGGTGATGGAAGGCTGCTTTCTGTCAGGGTGTAGATGATGTGTAGCCATCAGAATGGACTTGTTCATCTCAAGAATTACTGGAGGTGAATCAAAATCTTAATTTTAGACAGGCTTGGGCACCCACAAAGAATACCCCAGAAATCTGTGTGAAAACAGAGCATTTAGCACATTTCAGGACTTAGCAGCAGAGTGCACCCATTAGTTAAGATTTTGTAAATTGTGTTAGATTCAAACTGTGCATCATCACAAAGGTTTTATTTAAATTTGAGGAAGACATGCAATGCAATTCTGGCAATTTTGGCTGCCAGAATCAGCTGAGAGCAAGGTGATGGAAGGCTGCTTTCTGTCAGGCTGTGCATGAGGCACACTGAGATGATTAAATAGCTTACACCAGAATTCGCTTTCCAGACCACAGTGCAGCTCTCTGGGACCATCTCCATTGCAGCTGAGGTGTCCAGCTTTCCTTTCTGTTTGACTGAGTTAACACAAAACCTGCAGAAAATGAAGAATTCTTGTATTAATCTCCACTTGAATCTCATAATTGAGAACTGGACTGGATTTCTGCCTTGCCTTGGGACAAAGCAGACTGGCACATGCCTGGGTGATTTGGGTGCTTTCAAAGTTGTGCCTGTAGAGTGTTTTAAGAGCCTGCTTGTCTCTAGTGATAGACACCAATAGAAGCGCTTCAGACTGTGGCTTTTCAGCATTGAGACAGATTTAATCAGTAATTTTCATCCATTTTTCTTAAAGGGCTGAAAACATTGTGGTCTGGGTATTTTGTTTGTGCTTACTTTTCCTGTGGAAGACAGTCATTGCTTGGGAAACTGAATTTGTATCTGGAATTTTGGTTATGTATTTTGAATTTTACAACTCAAAAATTGGTCTTAACACTAAAGATCCAAACAGTGAGATTTGGGGAAAACTTATTTGAAATCTCTTTTAGCCACTGTTGGAGTTACAGCATGTTACTTTCTTTTGGGGTAGGGCTCATGTAACCTGCACTGGAGACTGAATGAAATTTTCTGTTTGCCATTGAGGAAGGTGATTGCTCCCACTATGGCTTGTTATTTCAAGGCTAGCATTTATTTCTGCATTTTATCCATTAGAGGCAGTTATTGATGTGCCATTGAGTCTTAGAAAATGTTGATTTTTACATCAAGTATATAAATTAGTGTATGGTGTGGTGCAGATTAGGTAATTTGAAAAGTTGCTTGCCAGAAGAAATAACTGACATTACCTAATTCCAACATTTCAGCTTGAGAAGAGCTGCAATCTTGCTGTGGTAAAGGAAGAAGAAAATAGAAATTAGAACCTGTTCTATTTTCCATAAATCAGAGATTGTGAGGCTGGATTAAATTTGTCTTCCCATGACAATATTCACTGCCCCTTGCAGCAGACAGGCTGGGTGGCATCCGGTGAATCCAATAGCAGGGAAATTGTCATTAAATGGAAGAAGTGGTGCAATATTGCACCACAGGGTGTTGTAGATGTGAAAAACAGTCATGTGGATGCTGATGGCTCAGTGGAAGATTTTTCCTGAAAGGATTTTTTGCCTGAACTTTGGTCCCTCTGAGTGCATATCTGGCCATACTCAGTTGTAGGTTTGAATTTGCTTATCCCCTGAAACTTAGCTTGAAAATGTCTCTTTTAGATCTGAAAATGATTTTTTTTTCCCAAATGAGACTTACCATATGTTATTTTGAAACATATAATTATGAAGCAGGAACTGTATTTATTCATGACTCATTAGTCTAAAAATTTGGAGATTTGATTTTTAAAGTTGGTGCAGGTAACATTGGAATGGCATTGTTAGACTATCCTGTCAGCACACCAAGAAATTCTGTCATGAGATCAGTCTAGGCAAGCTTAATATTATCAGGATTGAAGCTGTCAGTGATAAACCTCCTAGGAAGATCTTTCTGTGTTGTACTCCAAGTGTTACAAAAAGGTTAAATTCTTCCCCTTCCTTCAGCATTCTCTAAGGTGAGAATAAATTGAATTACTTTTAGCTTAGCTCCCTTTGCAAATTAAATGCTCATCTTCATTATTTGACTCATTATCTTGGTTAATTTAACCAAATAATAGTAGATTCAGGGTATTAAAATATTTATTTGAACTGTTGTGTTCTGAAGATGTAGTGATGGCACAGGTTACTTGATAAGACTGTAAAATATTGTTTGAAATAGAAGTGTGCAAGTTTTTGAACTCAACTCATAATAAAGAGCATTGTGATTTTCAGTTGAGCTTAATTCTATAGTATATTCTTTTGACAGTGTTTTAATTATATGAAAATTAGAGAGTTGAAGCACATGGTATTCTCAAGGAAGATCCTACCTACCAGAGCAGCTTGAGACTTCCTGAGGTTTGTTCATCTCACAAGAATTAGGATTTTAACTATTATTTTAGATTTAAGAAAACCCTTACAGTAGTGGGTTTCTAAGAAGCATTCTGGTGTGGAACCCCATCAAAGCAGCTTGTTCAGGATGGAGGTGAGACCACATTTGTGGTTTTATCTGAACCTGCTGCAGAAGATCATCTTCCCTGGGCAGTCCCCCTTCTCAAAACCAAGCAAAACAAGCACACTCCTTCCCCTCTCCACTCCAGTGTACTTCAGCCTGTTGCATGTGTGATTTACCAGCCCAGGAAGAGTTTGCAGGAGGAAATTTCAAATTTTGTTTGAAAATTTATATTATATTATATTATATCATATTATCTCATATTATATTATATTATGTCATATTATATTATGTCATATTATATTATGTCATATTATATTATATCTAATGTAATATAATATATCTAATGTATCTAATATATCTAATGTATCTAATATATCTAATGTATCTAATATAATATAATTCTATATTTATATTATATATAATACATATTGTTATATTATATTATATTATATCTAATGTAATATATTATATCTAATGTAATGTAATATAATATATCTAATGTACCTAATATAATATAATATATCTAATGTAATATAATATAATGTATCTAATATAATATATCTAATGTATCTAATATAATATAATTCTATATTTATATTATATATAATACATATTGTTATATTATATTATATGAATTTAATATATTATATGAATATAATATATTCATATATGAATATATTCTATTACTATAATATATTAATATAATATTTTATATTATATGAATATAATATATTATATGAATATATTATATATAATTAATACATTACTATATAATAATTATTATAATTTAAAAAATATTTTTTAACACCATTTTAAATTGTTATTTTGTTTCTAAAGGTAAGCTTTTTTTATATAACACCTTGTGCCTAGTGAGCTGCAGCACCCTCACTAGAGGTTTCCTGGGCACCCTGTAAGAACCTATTCTTGCTCACCTTTAAAAGCCCCAGTTTTGACAAGGTCACTGACAGCTAAATGTTTTAAAGATTATCAGTAGGAGGGGTTTTGTTGGTAGCTGAGGTCAGTTATTAAAAGCTAAAGTTGTCTGGTGGAAAACAGGTCTATACTTGTACATTCTAAGCCTTGGAGCAGTTTCAGCTACTTTAATTAGCTACTTTTATTTTTGTTAGGCATGCAATTTAACCTGACTGGTAAGAGCTCTCTTCACTTGCCAATATAACTGAATTTATCATCTTTTTAAAGCTGAAAAAGATAATCTCAAGAGAGGTACAAAACAGTGATTTGCTAAATATAATCCTACAAAATACCAGTTAGCAGAATTCACCTTCCTGAAGTATGGCTAAATGCCAAATATTGTAATTTATGTGTTTGACAACTCTGGTTTGGCATGTGCTAATTAAATGCAAGTGACACAAAGTATATCCCCTCAAGCTTAGTAAACGTGGACATTAGAAAAGTATCTTTAAATGGAATTTGAGATTATTAAAATAATCTCATTTTATAACCTGCAGCAATTTAGAGAGATGTTTCATAGCTGGAGAAAGACACACCTTAGGTCATAGGACCACAGTGTAGAAGCATCTATCTGATAAAAAAATTATCAATACTGATAGGCTATGACAGGCTTTTGGCAGCTTTAGGGCAACCTGTCTAGACTTTGTAGAGAGAAAAAAAAATAAGCCATCTGTACATTACATTGTTGCAGGCTTATTCTTGTTACAGCTCTCATCATTTTGAACAATTCTACTACAAATGACCACTGGAGTTTTTCGAAGACCTTCATGCTGCTTAATGTAGTGATGTTTGAAAGTCAGGTGTTTTAAATACAGTATTTATAGATATGATGTTTGTTACCTTATGGTGGGTTTTGTTCCTGACTTTTTACTCCTCTTCCAGTTCTAGTGGTGCTTATTCTGCATCCCTCTCTTGGAGCATGAATGCCTCTGTGCAGAGGGAGTTTTTCCTTAAGCTCACATGGTTACATATCAATGATTCTAT